GCCCTTTTTTTCTTTCTCTTAGCTTTTTAATTATGATCTGCCTGTGCCCATAAAGTTGCTTTTCTTCTCATACGCCTAGCCTATCTCTTCTTCTCCCTAATTTTTCGCTTCAGCTATGCTCGTGCCTCCTTCCTTTCAGTTATCCTTTTTTAAATCTATCTAGATGAGATAGGAGATAGTGTACTGGCAAGAGACGCTCTATAACACACGCATTGTTGAAAGCTCGAATCTTTGGTGGAGCATCCGGCCAACCAAGCCTTCCATCCCTCCAGGGTCGATGATCGCCACCATACCCTTCTGGAAGGGTAAAAGCACTGACTTGTAGATCGGCTGGCCGCAGCGAGTTAATGTATAGACCACATACCCCTTTGAACCGCCACTACGATTCTGCGTGGTAGTCGAACCCAAGGGTGCCTTCCTCAGACGGGATTGATCAACGCCCCAAGACTTTCCTCATATCCTTTTCCTTCATTGAGATGGTGAACCCGATTGATGCGAGCACAAACTATCACTTTCTGCTCCGCAGAAAATGAAGAATTGCTTCAGTGGCTTCGTCATAAATGGACCAGCCCAATCGACTCCGCCGTGCTTCTGGTCGCTTGCGCGGGCCTCGGCGGCTTCTCGATTCCACAGTTTCCGATCGGGGTGGAAATGGGCGTTGAAACGACCTTTCCGGTTTATGAGGCAACATCGTCTGGTCTGCTGGTTCTCAGTGGGTAAGTGCGTTTAATTAAATTTGCTTTGTAACTCTGCATAGAATTGCAGCATGTTCACAATTCAATCGAAATAGTTGACTTCAGGCAACTGTGGATGTTTGTTATGTACTACGTGTTCGAAACGACGAAGAAGTTGAAAATCATGTATGAATTTGATGACACAAAGCCGTCGGGGAATTGGCAATGTAAGTATGCCACCTTCTCAGATTTCCTTATCATTTAATCCTGTGCAGAAGGTATAATAACTATTCCAGTGAACCTTGACATCTGGTGTATATTGGGGGTCGTCGCAGCGTTTTTGTCGTTCGTTGCTAACCCTACGTGAGTTTGTTGTCATGTTGTAATATTGACTTTCCAATCCTTATAATTTCATGGAGAGTCGCTGTGGAGCATTCGGTTGATCCTCATTTGACAATACCCTACCGAATGCTCTAATCGCCTTCGAGCCCTTTCCGAATCTGGGAAATAGGGTTTCTTGAGCGTGGCCCAGCTGTCTCGATAAAAGTGTTAGCGTGTCTCGGAAAACATCTGCGAGCTAGTGGCTCGAGAGACACAGTTCAGTGTTTAGCCTTTTGTGGAGGTTTGTCCCAACAACTACTCTCCATCGCTCTCCCTAGTTCAAATGCAGAGATGAACACGGTGAGACGAGGGGTACCCAGAAAGCCAATGAGTGTGGATATACCTGAGGTGTCCTCTGCATTAGAGTAATTGAAAGAAATCGGGATAGATTCGAGTGTGCTTGTTCTGGCAATATTAACCTTCAAGCCAACTGATACAACAAAAGCTTTTTGCTCATTTTAAGCGAGTGGGCTACTATTGAAGAGATGTGTCTATGTAGGTGAAAACCAACAAAGCTGCAGAAAGAATTGGATTTCTTCGTTTCTACGATATTAAACTGCCATGTGTTGCAGATACAAGCGCATGCAATATGAAACTAGCGTGTGTGAACAACCACAAAATGGATCGGGTACTTATGAGATGTCTGCCAAACTTGAAAAATCGAATCACGCAGATGGTACGAAGCTTGATGAAGACGTGGAGAGGTTTTAGATCGTGTAAGTGGTAAGAAACAATAGTGGAGGCACCAGTTTTAGACCATGTCTATTTTCAGTGAGCCGTTAATTTAATTCGTTCAATTCTTCTCTTGCATGCTGTTCCTCTTTTCCAACCCGTATCTTTCTATTTCTGTTAATTGTAATGTCTGAACGTCAAGTCGTAAAGGCACGAGGGCCTGGCCTATGGTAGCAAACCTCGTCTTCTTTCATTTCTTCGCCTGTATTCCCTCTACTGGTTTCTTTTTCCTCAGATTAATCTCGCCGTATAGAAATGATATTCACTATCATATCTTCCTGATTTTCCCGCATAGTTTTATAATATTTGATGTAATTTTACCTTTTCGAGTAACAAAAATCATCAAATCGAACTGTAATTATGAGTCACCTATTTTCACACTTTATCAAATTACGTGGTAATAACTCCGATGATCTTACGTTTGATACTTTTAGCAGTTAACTGGTACTGACGAATTGAAGTGATTGATGACCACGATATTTGCATGATATATTCTCTCAGATGACTTTTAGTGTTTTGTATGCAGAGATCTTGTAGAATGAATGTTTTAAACTGTTGTCCATTGGCGGCACTGCTCTCACCTGCTCAGATGCAGGAATTAATTAGTTAATTTGCACTACTCGGCGTACAAGTTGTTATGGTTCCACTTTTTCTGGTCGATATTTCGAACAAATCCTCGTCTTCAAGAGATTGCCTCAAACTTGGTTCGCGCTGGAAGCTCCTGGTGTTTGGCTCTCCCGACCCAGGAAAGGTAGGTCAATTGCAACAACACCCAGCAACAATGATCCTGAATGAGTAACCAATCTCCTATACAACCACTGCTAAAGTCCTGATCGGCTACGTACACATAAAGGGAATTGAGTCACAGTGGATGGCTGCCAGATGAGACTTCCATCGTAATACCAAAAAGGGACGAGTTTTAAGAGTTCGTTATTAATGTATATGCATACATGTGGTTTGTCAGCTTCGGATTTCTCGTACAGATATAGAACGGCTCCAATGTCTTTCTAGCAGCAATTTCATTTTCAGCTTTAGAGCCAAGTCGTATTCGATGTCAAAGCGACTGCACTAATTTCCCTCAGCTCGACGGTTTTGCAAGTGTCCCAAAAGGACCACCATGCCTTTTTCTGGTTCGTTTTTCAACACGTATCACATGCATCCTTCCGGTTTCACCAATATATTTCTTCACAAGCTGGGACCAAAATTTCGTACATACATCGTCTATCGCTATGTGCAATCCTTATCATTCCAAACGAGCAAATGCGGATTTGGCAAGTGATGTTGTTTCGGTAAACCTATCAGGTGACAATAACGTCAAACTTCATTCAATCCACATTAGGCTTTATGACCGCGCATGTACGACTGCACGGTCATGAAGCTATTGATAACTGATAAATGCGTAATTTTTCTCCAACTTCTCTCTTGCTTTAACCTCGGCATAGTTTGCGTAATTTTTATTTTTTTGGAAAAAAGATTGCGTACAGAAAGGGACAGTGAGTCAACTTTAGGGTTCAGCCTGTGATGGAAAGAATGCATACCCGTCAAGAATCATCGAGCAGGAACAAAGCATCGAAGGCTTTTTCGCCTTCTTGATAGCGCCGTCAAAGAGAACATCGGGACACTGATTTTAACATCGAACGCAAAATCCAGACTCACAAAAATAAAATTCTGCAGGAAAGATATTGAAGGCTTTTTTTTACTCGTGCTTAAAGCTAACAATCGACATCAGCTCATGGCCATGACCAGCAACCTTCTGCTATCCATTCCTTGCTCTGGTCTTTAGGACCATTGCGTAATCCTAATAAATGGTCATTAATGGTGTATTATTGATATCTTGTTTAATGTTCACGTGACGGAATGAGATGTCAACACTGGTGGTACAATAGAAGACTGACGGCTTACAGCTAGATGGAGTATTTTTGCCCGTTTGTGTTTTAGTTTCTGGGAGTTGTTGCAAGTGAGGTAGCGCATTTGAATGTTTGATCGGGTCAGTCACAGATCAGAAGCTCCGAACTACTTCAGGTTCTAGAAAACACCGATTGTTCGGTACCTCGACTAAATTGTTCAGTAGTAATTTAGCCAGAGTGGATGATGTGGAACGATGAACGTTGAATTGATCAGCCGGGGAAATTGGATAACCAAAGCTTCTAACGCAGTCGCACGCCAATGGCAAGAACCACTTAAGATGTTCTTGAAGCCTTACAAGACGGCTAGCTTGGGATCACTGTTCAGGCCAAAACCATATCCTTGATTAACCCATTGACGACCATGACGTTTTGCTGGAAAAGCGCCGCGAGGGACCGGCGCGCTTTCAGCCCACTCGCGACTGGAACTCACATGAGGACTTCGAGACCCAGCATAACCATTTTTTAATGTTTATAAAAGAAATAAGAGAAATTCATAAGTTTTTCGGAATACTCCTTCAGATGGGCTTGGTAAGAATGCCCACATCGAGTGATTATTGACCTTTATTAT